CTGGATCATGGCTGAGCCTGGTAAAACAGAATCCCAGGGAAACCATTTCCTAGCATCCCTGTGTGAGCAGGCTGCCCCCATGGTCTCTTAAAGAAGTTTCCAGTTCTACACCCTTGAGCCTGCAATGGGTGTGGTCTTGCTGATTCCTGAGTTGCCATCCTGAAGGCATTTTCCCTGTGGATCTGCAAAGTACTTAGCTTCTCCTTATTGGTGGTGATCTCTTCAACAGTCACACCTTCCCCAGCCCCACTGCTGTCTGGGCTTCTTCTCTGGCCAAATGACAAGTTTTAAAAATCTCTCCTTTCTGCTTTTTGCTTCTGATTCTCACAAGCAAAGCTGGCTGGAAGTTGCCAGCAACACTGTTGTCACTGCCTGAATGCTGTGCGAACTTGAAATCAACCTGCCACGTTAATTAATTCATCACTTTTAAATTCAGCCCCAACTCTCAGAACATGGGGAAAATGTAGATAAGTTTTTTTTTTTTTTTTGCCAGAATATAGTATGAATGGCCTCTAGTCCAGTTTCCAAAAGAATCCTCATTTCTCTCTGAAACCTCGTGAGCATAGTCTTTTCTGTCCACATTTCTGTTGGCTCTGTGGTCTTCTAAACCCAACCAGAATCACCGTTGATTCCCGCTTACACATTCTAAGGCTTCACCAGCCGGCTTCTCCAAGCCTTTTCAGATTCTCCTACAAACTAGTTCCAGAGGTTTCTGAGCCGCATGGTCAGGTTAGTCACAGTCATGACCCTACTCTTAGTACCAGCTTCTGTGTCAGGTATCTTGGTCAGTGATGAAAAGCTGACATGACCACTTAGAGGAGGACAGTGTATTTTGGCTCGTGGTTTTGGAGGTCTGTCCACGGCTGGCCTGCTCCGTTGCTCTGGGCCATGATGACAGAAGGGTGTGGCAGAGGAAACCAGGAGGGGCGGGGGGAGTCGGACACACGCACACAAAGATGTGTGCACTTACGGAGCCACAGGGACAAGAGGTAACCCCTGAGTGCACATCCCTCGTGACCCACTTCCCCCAGCCACGTGCCACCTGCATACGGTCAACACCCACGCAGTAGTGCTTCCAGATTTAAGAATCCATCAAATGGATCGGTCCATGGGTTAGGTGACAGCTCTCACAATCCGATTATCTCCCTTGAACACAGGAGGTTTTGGGGATACTTCACATGCAAACAGTAACATCAGCCTCAATGAAGTTTGTTGTATTTTATCATTATTTTTTGTACTGGGGATTGAACCACGGGTGCTTTCCCCCTGAAATACATCCCCAGTCCTTCTTATTTTGAGACAGCATCTCGTTAGTCGCTGAGGGTGTCCTTGAATTTGTGGTCCTCCTGCCTCAGCCTCCCACGGCACAGGATGACAGGGGTGTGCCACCACTGCCAGCCTCGGTGAAGTTTTAATGAGTGAAGTTCAGTGTGTTTTATGCTCGTCCTTTTTTGCGGACTTCTGCTCCTGTCTTTCCCGGGTTTCTGTCGGGCCACCGTCTACTTGTCCCGTGTAGGGGCTTTTCATCGGTCGCAGTGGTCAGCCTCTGTCTTTGGTGTCGGTTGGAATGGTCTCTGCTGTGTCATTTGTGTTTCCTTTGCTGGCGGTGGGCGTTGCTCTGGGGAAGTCCTGCTGCGGGGGGTCCATGTGTCCTCTCCTCTTTCCTCCGTGGGGACTCTGGAGTCTGCTGGGGGGGCCTTCTCCTCTCCCACTCTGAGAGACTGAGGCCTGCTTCCGCCCACCACGTGCCGGCCCCTTTCTAGGTTAGATTCTCATCTGTTGCAGTGTGTCCTCCTGTGGTGGCCACTGTGGATCCTACTCTCATTTTCCAGATGACTATCTGGTCAACCCATTTATTAAAATGTCCCTATTTTCCCCAGTGTCCTAAGCCACCCTTACCACGCACCGCCCTGAGAACCTGGGTGGATTTCTGGATTTTCTGCTTGGCTCCGTTAGACCAGGAGATTGGCAGACTGTTTCTCTGAGGGTGTGGATAACAAACATTTCAGGCTAGTCCACTTTCCAAAAGAGTTCACATGTGGTCTCTGTCACATTTTTGTCCCTGTGTATTTTTCAACAACCTGTTAAATTGTGAAAGCCCTTCTTCAGCCCGCATTAGCCTGTGCCTCTCCGCCACTTGCCCAGTGCTAGTGGGCTCAGCTGCCACCCTTCTGCCCTTCCTTGCAGGGTGTCCTGGGCATTCTTGTGTGGCCTGTCTCCTGTGGACACTTGGTGTCAGTGTGATGACTGTTGGTTTTATGGGCAGATTCTGTCGGAGTCCGTGAACAATGGCAGGTGTCTTCCCCAAGAGCAAGGACGCCTTTGTCCTGCATTTCTACCTCTCCAGAGAGTTGCCAGGTCTGCCTCCTGTGCGTGTGCGCCTTTCTAACTGATTGGGTTTGGTTGATCTCTACTGTTTCCTTTGTTCTCCTCCTTTCTGGTACTCTTCACGGTTGTTTCCCCAGTTTTCCTGAGTTGTTGGTTCACTCACCTTAACCCTTGGTCTCGGTGGGGTGCAGTCGCCAGGCAGGACTGTTCCTCTGATGACAGCTGCATGTTTCCTGGTTCTGCAGAGAGTGTTCTTAGTGTTGCTGTGTCCTGGAGGGTCCTCCTTGCTTGTGGGTGCTCTTTGACATAGTTTCAAGTAAGTTATGAATTTCAGAAATTTTATTACTAATTCCAGTTATTGCATTGTGATCAGGGAGCGTTGTTGGGCTGCTCCTGCTTTACGGAGTGTATCTAGGTGTTCTTTGGGGCCTTTAAGTTGCTGTTTTTTGTTGAGGTTTCAGGTGCACCTGAAAAGGAGTGCTGTGCGTTGGGTGCACGCTGCTGCCTGTCTGCAGCTGTCCCACGGACCTGTTGTGCTGCGTCTGTGTCCTTCCTGACTTACTTTCCGCTAGGTCTGCCTGTGAGGGGGCAAGGCTCTGTCTCCGTCGCTGTGGCCTCTCTGAATTTCTGGCTGGCTGCGTGGATACTCGTGGCTGCTGCGCAGAGGTTGTGATTGTGGAGCGTGGTGTTGGGAAGTTCCCGTGATCCGAGAGAACTCCGTGTACTGTGCAAAGGAGGTGCTTGGGGATCTTGAAGGGAAGGTGGAGATTGAACAGGGCGCAGAACAGCCACCCAGCGTGGGCCTGGCGTGGGGCTGGGTCAAGGAGCTGGCAGGGACCCACCTGGGGAGTGAGGGAGGCAGATGTCCTGCGCCTGGAGCCTGTTCTCGGTGCAGCTGTTGGTTGGCGCCATCACAGCTGCTGACGGGTGGGGCTGACACACACACTGGCTGGTTTTCTGCTGGGGCCTTCGGCAGTGCTGTTGGATGGAATTTGGGCAGCCAGAGCCTCAGGAGTGGCTTCCTAGGAGCTGGGCAGGGAGCGCATCGCCTGTACCTGTGGTGGGAAGAGTTGGGAAGCCCGTTCTGAGGGGCCGTGATGGCCAGAGCAAGGCGGCCACGCCTGTGTGCATCCCCCGGGAGCACACACAGCTCAGGGCCAGTCCCCAACCCCAGAGCCTGAGCGCCACATGGGCTGGGACCTTGAGTTCTATTTTCGGTGCTGCCTATGCAGGGCCTGGTGTGGAAGGGGCGTGGCCACTGTTGGCTAAGGCAGCGGAGTGATGGTGGTATGGAAGCGCTGGTGACGACGTGCTTATGGTGTGGAGCCCCCAGCAGGTGGCAGGAAGAGCTGGCTGGGGATAAGGGGGTCAGGCACACGTGGGACCCTGGGTGGGTCTGTGCCCTCGCAGGGTGCTGCTGGGGAGTCACCCCACAGGTCTGGCCTGAGTGTGGGCAGGGCCCACACTGCCCTTCCTTAGCTTGGGTCTGTGGTGAGTGGGATAAGTGCCCTTGGTGCCATGAGCCCGGGCTTTGGTGCTTAGGGGTGTGCGACACGGGGATCCCACCTGAACCTGGGTGTCCTGAGCTCAGCCAGATAGCGCAGGCCACCTCTGAGACCCATGCTGGGGCATGCTGCCTGCCACTGGCCTTGGTGACCAGCTCCTCCTTGTTCTTGTCCTGGGTCCTTACGTGCCCTTGGCCCTGTGAGATGCCCCTTCAGGCCTAAGCAGCTGTTCCTCACCCTGTTTCCCTAGGGCTGAAGCTCAAGGTCTTAGGCTGTGTCCCTCCCTCTAGTAATTGCACTGCCACCTGGTCTTGAGGACAGGTGGCCTGAGATGGAGTCACAGAGGGAACCTGTGGCCCAACCATATTTAAACCTCAGTCCAGTGGAGGACCACACAGACTCTACCCCTTCTTCCTAGAGACCAGGGTTCTGCTCCTTAGTGCTTCACAAATGCTGATCCGTGGGGGTAGACCAGGGGTGTTGATTTGAACTTGTCAGCTTCGCTGTCCCTGAATCTCATCTAATGGAAGTTTCAGTGGCATTTGTGTCAATTTAGAATTAATGATAGTGCCACTTCAGGACGAAGGCTGGCTGCAGTCGGCTCATGTCTCAGCCCCAGAGCCAGGCACTGCCTCCAAGAGGAGCCCGCAAACCCCGTGGGGTGCTGCCTGGCCTGTGTTAGGGCAGCCCCGTTCTAGGTCCCGAGATCCCACACTTGAACAAGCTTGAAGCACCTGCTCCGCTTGAGAGGTGTATGTGTGTGTGTGCATGTGCATGTGTGTGTGCGTGCGTGCACCATATTGACAGCAGATGTCGGCTGTGTTTTTCCTTAAATTCTGCGTGCCCAGAATAATGAGCTTCCCAGCGAGCCTCATCAGGGCGCTTGTTCCCATCCATCATAGATGTTTTACAAGGACTTGGTGGAAGCCATAAATCTTATTTTGGGAGTTTACTGTGTACATTGAAAAGAACTGTAGTCTTCTGAACATGACTCTTGGCTTTGTTAATTGGGGCATTTTATGATGTTTTTGATTAATGTGTTTTTTAACTATCAATATGACGGAAGCAGAAATTAGTAATCATGACCAGAGCAGAGATCTCTTCAGAGAGTAAAGATGATAAATGACTCCAATTACTTCTGGGCCCTCATGGGGCCTCCTCGCACAGGGTCTCCTGGCTTCCAGCTGAGGTACGTGGTGGGCCCTGGCTTCCTGAAGCCGGGCGAGCAGCGCTGGTTCCTCCACTACCTGGCCGTGCAGACCTTGCAGATGGACGTCTGGGACGGGGACTCCTTGCTCCTCATTGGATCTGCCGCCGTTCAGATGAAGGTACGGCCTTGCTCAGGCCAGGCATGGCTCACAGGGCAGTCCACCGGAGTGCTGGTCACCGTGCAGCACTGGACTGTGGTTTGCTTTTTGCTCACTGAGAACAAGCTGGCCTGCCAGGTCCTGTCGTCTGCTGCTCCTTGAGCGTGATGATGTAAGTTTCCCGAGGGCAGGAGCCACGTGGGTGGCCTTGAAGGTGGAGTGAACAAGGGACAAGGTGTGAAAACATGGCATGGTCATCAGTGAAGGAATTCTAGTTAGAATCAAAACCCCCCTAACTGTGCCTGTCCGTATCCTGACACCCAGCTCTGTCCTGTCCTCGCGCTTTCCGAGGCTTCTCCGCAGACCTTCCCTACTGCGTGCAGGGGACCACAGTGGGTCAGAGGCAGACACCATGACAACTGCTGTGTGCTTCTGCGGGAGGTCCTGGGCCTTACTCTCAAGGCCTGTGGGGGTAGGGGGAGGAGACACCATAACCATGGCTCCTGGGTCTCTCCTGCCTCAACCCCATGTGACCACACCCTCCTGCACTCTGGGCCCCTCTATTGATATGGCCCTCTAGCGGCCGCTGAGCATGAGACACAGACCTGGCCATCACTCTGCCCCTCCTCCGCCATGTGCTCGCTTTCTCTGTCCTCCCATGTGCAGCCCCAGGGTTCCCTGACAGCAGGCTGCTGTTCCTGGGCTCAGCTTGTCCCTCCCTCCTCTGATTCTGACTCCCTGTGCACCCTGTGACTCAGCCCGCCTCAGTGTCTTTAGTGAGGAGGATGTGCTCCCGAGGGGTATGGTAGAGCTGTGGGTGTCGGGGCCTGGGCAGGGTCTGCCAGCAAGGACTCAGTTGCTGCGACCCTCCTGGTCTTCAGAGTCTTGTTTGTGCCTCCCACCTTGGCCCTGACTGCCTGAGAGCAGGGTGGGGTGCACAGCCAGGCTGCACACACTGCCCAGGGGGGCTCACCCCCCTGGGGCCTGGCCCAGCCAAACCCTGTGTCCTTGTTCTCCTTCATACCTGGAGACAGAAGCCATTGATTCCCTCCTGTAAGAGCAGCCCTTAGCCCAGTGCCGTGCCATGATGTGTATTGACAGGGTTGGACCAAGGAAAGCTGAGTTTCAGAGGCTGGGCTTGCCTAGCACGTATGAGGCCCTGGGTTTGATCCTCAGCACCACATAATAAATAAATAAATAAATAAATAGATAGATAGATAGAAGGTATGGTGTCCATCTACAACTGAAAAAATAAAACCCTTTTAACTTTAAGTGAAAAAGTCTTTTAGGTTTAAAACTGAAGGAGCAAAGGTGGGAAGTGAAGGTGGGCCAGGTGGCCTCCTGTGGCGTGGTCCTGGGTGGTCCTTTCTCTTCTGGGCCTCGAGTGTGCGCACGTGGGCCCTCCACCGAGCCACGCTCGGCCCCGCCTGGTCGTCCTGCTTTCTGCCCACCAAGGCTGCTGTGGCTCGCCTCTGCCTGCTGGAGGGCGTGCCGGAGGCTGCCCTGTAACTGAAGGAGCTGAATTTCCTGTGACTCTTATGATGTTGTGGCAACCGGAAGAGCTGTTGCCAGCAGCTGCATGCTCCCTTTGGTGTGGCTGAAGCCCAGGGTCACGCTTGATGACAACCAGGGTGGGTTTTCAGCCCAATTCCAACTCAAGATTTTGACTCGAAACCTGTGCTTGTTCCACTGTCCCCAGACGACAGGTTCTAGGCAGCAGAATTCCTTGCCGAGCGAGGGTGGCAGGTACCCAGGGCCAGATGGGTACGGCCCAGAGGCTGGCAAGACCTGCAGATGAGAGGGCCTGGGCTGCTGCACACGTGTCCTTTTTAAGGGTGTTGGCCTCTTTAAGTCCCTGTGGCTTGGTGGCCCAGGGTGCCGCTTTGTGTCTGTTCACCGCTCCTCGTGAGGCTGACGTTACTTCTTATATTCATTGCCCCTTCTCCAGAGGAGTCTTCCCAGACCTCATCTTCCAAGGGTCCTGGCCTGGGGACGTGCATGCTGTGAGTTGGGCAGTGGGTACAAGCAGCGCCAGGCCAGCAGGTGCTGCGTGATGGAGCCGAGGGCAGGCTCTGCTCTGACTCTCCACTCCCAGAGGCAGGTGCTTTGGTTGTAGTGAGAGTTGGAAAACCATTCCACACCTCTGCTTTGGTCCAGGGAGCCAAGCAGTAGAGAAAGTGCAAGCAAGCTGGAGCCTTGATGGCCGCACAGTCCCCCGCACGCCAACAAGCTCCTGGGCTCAGGCGGAGGCTGGGGGTGGAATGTGAAGACCCTGGCTGGCAAGGTTCTGCCCATACCATCCTGGCTCTGGCGCATCCCGGTGCTCTCTGCCTGACTTCCAGATGTGCCTCAGCCCCGCGCTCCAGCTGGCCCTTGTGCCCTGTGGCCCCTGCTGTGGCCCTCTGGGCACCTCCAGCCACAATGAAGTCGTGCAGGCTGTGCTGTGCTCTCCTGCCCTGCTGGCCTCCGCTGCCCTGCTGGCCTCCGCTGCCCTGCTGGCCTCCCCTGCCCTGCTGGCCTCCCCTGCCCTGCTGGCCTCCCCTGCCCTGTGCCTGTGCTCATCAGTTCAGACTGCTGCCCAGGTCACTCCTGAGTGCCCTGAGTTCGGCTCAGTGGAGGGTCCTTATCTCTTTCTACTGCCCACCTCTGGTCCTTCTCCCCATGAAGGGCAGGTGCCAGGCCACTGTGCATCCCCAGGGGCAATGTTTTCAGGGGGCAAGTTGGGTCCACTTCCAGAGTCTCTGAAGAAGCCCCTGATGTTGAGGACTCGCGGTTTAAGGAGGTCTCCCCCACAGCGTGGACGTGGTCAGGGCTCTCGGGTTCCTGGCCTTCCCCACGCTCAGTGGTCTTTCTCGGGGCTCTGGAGTGGTTGCAGGGATCCCTGGGAGGGGTGGTGGAACCCAGCTCCTGAGCGCCTGTCTCCCCTTCGCAGCACCTCCTCCGCCAGGGGCGGCCGGCTGTGCAGGTGCCACATGAGCTCGAGGTCGTGGCGACCGAGTATGAGCAGGACGCGTCTGTGGTGAGTGGAGAGGTGACCAGGTTTGGCAGCGTCAAGCCCATTGGTGTCCACACGGTGGTGAGGGGCCTGCTGCACCTGACCTTGGCCAACGTGGGTGAGTCCTGGCAGTGCTGCCTGGGTTTGTGCTGTTCCCGGGGACAGCTGGTCTCTGCTGGAGCGTGAGGGCCAGCGGCAGCGTGGGCGCTGTGTACTTGGTAGGAATCAGCAGGAGGCAGGTCCGCTTGGCTTCAGGAGTCCACCTCAGCTCCCGAGCCCCTCTTGACGTTCTCAGTTACTGACCAGGACTGAGATCATTGCCACCTCAGACGGGCCCACGTGATGTCTCTTGGTGCTCTCCGTGGGTCATCCCAGCGACTCCTGACAGTCCTCAAGTGGCTGGATTCTGTTTGGACGTGCAGTCCACATAACTGCCCGTTGCAGAGGAGAGGAGATGCTCCGCATCCTCCGAGCAGCTCGGGAGGGTGAGAGGGGAGTTTCTCTCGGGCACTGAGCAGATGGAGTCCCACGGCTGCTGGCAGAGACTGAGCAGAGCCCTGTTCTCATTCTCTGTGTCTGGGCCGGGGTCGGGGGCTCGGCATGGTCCCCCCTGGGCTTCCCGTTTCCAACAGAGGGCAGCCATGGGGTTGGGGCTGCTCAGTGCTGGTGGGTGGAGATCTCCAGAGGCTAGGTGCCTGCCTGTGGCCACCCCAGAGGGCCAACAAGGACCCTGCTGGTCCTGTGGCACACCCACTGATCTTCCCTTGGGGATATTCTGAAATGGTCAGGCTTTTCTAGGCAAAATGGGAAGTGCAGTGAGACAAGCTATTGGAA